AAATTATAGAAATATTTTTTTCATTGGCGATTTTTTCACAGTACAGAACATTAAATTGAGGAAAACTTGATAAATACTTTGCATATATAAGACTTTTTGGTATTAATTTATTGCATTTTATTTGTACAACATTATTTATGCAGTTTAAGTTAGCTAAAAAAATTATCCATCAAGAAACAAGCTGTCAAATAGTATGTCAATTGAGCTTCTCAAATAATGAAAAATAAATTTTTTTAAAATTTGTTTAAAATGAATATCTGTTGCAGAAATTAATTTTTAAATGTTAAATTTAACATAATTATGCGTTAAAAATCAAAACCTATAAAGTTTTCACGACAGAAAGTTAATTTTGCAAAAATTTATTTTTCATTATTTGAGAAGCTCAATTGACATACTATTTGACAGCTTGTTTCTTGATGGATAATTTTTTTAGCTAACTTAAACTGCATAAATAATGTTGTACGAATAAAATGCAATAAATTAATACCAAAAAGTCTTATATATGCAAAGTATTTATCAAGTTTTCCTCAATTTAATGTTCTTTACTGTGAAAAAATCGCCAATGAAAAAAATATTTCTATAATTTTTTTGCATAATATCAACTTTTACTATAATAAACTGTATATATTCTGAAAGCTTATTAAAAATACTAAATAAATCAGTAAAGTCTAAGTTAATTAAGATTGAATCATATGACATATTTGCTTAAAAGTCATTAAAAATAGTAGCCATTTTGAATTTAAGAAAAATCGAGAAAACACGTGGTTTTGGTGGAAAATTTTTGAACGTTAATAAAGAAAATCGTCTAAGCTTCAGATTTCCATCTTAAAAAGTTACCATAACACACTTATTAACACATTTTTTTTGTCATTGAAAACTGTCCACTCACTTTTGCACGTTATCGATTTCGAATATTTAACGGTATTTTCAAATTCCTTAATCATAGTACAAAATTTATTTTTCATACGAAATCTCATCAAAAATTAGATATACTGTGAAAATTTCAAGTGATTTCGTTTAGTGGAAGATACTTTTTGAACGAAATTATTAAAAAATTTGTTCTGTCCACTCACTTTTGCACGCTACTGTATATACGTACATTAAAAAAGATGAGTATAACCATATGAATACATTGGGATCATTAAGATCCACAAAACCGTGAAGTAAGTAGTAGTCAGGTGATTGTTGAATAAGGCATAAAACTCATCATGATTTATAAGCCAAGATTGTAAAGCTGAAATAATGAAGAAAACAATTCTAGAATTATTTCAGTTCCACTCTTGTGGATATATTCCATGGAAATTAGAAAATTATGTTAAAAAAATCATCTTCGCTAGCAGAACTTTATGGGTATTTATTTCTTTCAATCTTTCCATCCATCCATCCATCTATCTACCTATCTTGCCATTTTTAAGATATACTTTATGCTTCGATTAACATGGGAAGCACTTGCTAGATGAGTAGGATTTTCTTCTTCCAGCATTTCATAAATCACCTGCACGTCAGCAGCATGTGGCGTTCAATCAACACTAAATCGATTCATTTCAGCAACAAAATTACTAGTTTTCTTTTATTTTCAATTGTTAAGCTAGGTAAATAATTTTGCGTTTTTTTATTTCCAAAAATGAGGAATTGTGATGCGTACGTATAAAACTCGAAATTTTTGAATGAAATAAGAAGGAAAATATGAGAAAAAAGAATGAAATCAATTTTCATGAATGAAATGAAACATTTTTGAAATGTGATGTTTAGTCGATCGAATGGAATGCCAACAAAAATTTTTTTGTTCTCTTTAAGATGATTTTTATAGCCACAAACAAACGAAAATCATCGTGGAATTGTAATCATAAAAAAGTAAGATCCGGTATAAAGTAAAAGAATCAATCTTCAAATATTCTCATTTCAGTTCTTTCCTATTTTATTGAAAAATCTATAAATTTTTTTTTGTCTTCTTTCCTTCTGGGTAATTCCATGAGTAATGAGAACTGTGAAAAAGCACTATGCAATATTTCTCTACTTGTAAAAATTCAAATTTCCCAAAACCGTTATAATTTCTAAACGTTTTGTTGTTTATTCGAGTGAATTAGCCGCAATACCATCAAAGAGAGATGGTTCAAATATACATGATCTTTAATGTTTTGAAACTTTAGTTACTTGCTCAATTAAATCAAATAAATGTAATAAACTTACAAGTAAAATCAAGAAAATCTAATGGTTTTTGTGAATTTGAAATTTTTTCAGTGTTCTGTTTTGCAATAATCGGTCAAAAATTGACCGATTAATGCTAGTTTTTTTGATTTTTCTTCTTAATTAAAGCATTAAGGAATGCAAATTATACATAAAACAAAAGCCTGGCTAATATCTAATATGTTAAAAGTAACTTTGGAACATAGAAGTGTGTATTTAAGTAAATATTAGGAAATGTTTAGAAAACGATTTTTCGAAAACTTGACCGATTAATTTTACTTTTATTAAAAAAACAAGAATTAGACATATTTCTGATGTGAAACTCTCACATATGGAGATAAATATTGTGTTAATAAACATAATAAAGTTACAATTTGGAGTACAAAGTTCTTAGTTAAGGAAATATTTTTGAAAAATTGGAGCACTAAAATTTTTTTCACTCATGGAATTACCCTTCTCCTCTTCAGAAGTTTAATGTTCAATTAAAGAAAGAGAAAAAGTTAGCCGCAAACAATGCTGGATCATGTGAAACAATAAAAAAAAATGTTTTAATTCCAGATCTTAAATTCACCAAGATGATGAAAGAAGGAAAGAAATAAATCGATAATGTACCATGTGAGATTTTTCTCTATAGTCTTACCAAATAGTCGGTGTATATATGAGTATTATGCTTTAATTAACATGATTTAGAATTGCTTTTTAATTGAAACAATACGGGAATTCTTAACCATGAAAATCTTTTGTTATGGAAGAATTTTTTTTTCTCTCAAAAAAGGTTAATTGAAAACCCCGAGAATTTTTATTATTATTCATTTTGATTTTTAGAGCTCTCTAGTTTTTTTTTTGTTTTAAGCGTAATAAAGATCATCAAGAAACTGCTGTGAAAGAAATTACAGCTCTACTGAGTTATTATTAAAATTGTTAAACATTTTAAGGTAGAGAACTTCAATTCACAAAACCATGTATAGTCAGCTATTAAGATAGAAGAAACAAAAATGCCACCTCAACCATTTTTTAGCCATTTGTGATCATTTTGATTGCCATAATTTTAAATCTGCGACACTTGAAACAATAGACATAAAAAATTATACACAGAGATACAATAAGAAGAAGTTTATAAACACTAAAGACACATAAATGTATAAAATAATAATAATAATAATTAAGCTTTGACGTTACTATCGACATAAGGACTTAAAACGCATTTTCATACTTATAGCTATGTAGGGGGATTAAAACAGAAGAATAGCATTTTATAAAATTTACATAAAATGGCACGAAAACAACTAAATTGGTGATCCTTTAATGAAACCTTTGCTATAAAACTAAGCACGCCATCATATCCTTCTCTCTTTAAAAGTAAATCAAAGCTGGTAAAAAAATCACAAGTAATTGAAGATCTTGCATAATCTTCTGTTTTTATCTCAGAATGCTTTGACTTTGCAAAGTGTCATTTTTGTTAAAAGGTTTAGAATGTAAGTTTACACCATGCCAAGCTTATTTTTGTTCTTCTTTATCATTATGTAATTAAGTAAAGGATTATATATTAAAATGCAAGATATCAAAGTAAGTAAAAATATTTTATCTATTAAATTTCTCTTTTAAGTTTAAAATTAAATCTCCTTAAAATCAGAGTGGTTCTTAAACTAATATTGACAATAATGATTTTTAAAATAAAATAAGGTTCTGAAACTTCAAACTTTTAAAGAATTTTCTAGGCTTAATTTTTATGTATTTATCGTTAATATATTCACATATATAAATACATCTTAGTCTCTTCGCGTATAATTTGCTTGAAAATAAAAATGTTTAAGAAATGTTACAAAGAGGTACAACGGATTCGAGCGGATTCATGCTTGGCTGATTTTTCCAAGCAATACAGAATATTTGCCTTTTTTCTTTTATGAATTATTTTCTTCATTCTTAGTGTTTACGTGACTCTTAATTTCTTAAAAGACCAAAATTTTATTTGATAGTAGAAGTTTTTATGACAACACATACTGATGTATGATTTAAATTAATTTAATTATTTTAAATTATTTTGGAACAAGTATCCACGATTATTAAACATTAAATAATAATATGATCTTGAAGTCAAAGCTTTTATATATTTAAGTAAGCTAAAGCTTTCGTCGATTTAAAAAACCGTTTCTTCAAATAGTTTTAAGCTCGCTAAAGTGCCATCTACTAGTCAAAATTAAATAATTGGTGTTTACAGTTACAAGCCACGTGATGAAAATTTAATCAAATTATGCATGAATGAAAATATTTCTGAGCAATACAAATGATAACAGTAAATTTTTGATATGAATGATTTTTGTTTAAATGTGTGATAATACTAAATCATTACACGTGGAGGTAATACTTGAAAATTATTGATGTTAGATAAATATCTTGAATTCCCCTTGTACGTAACAAAATTCAGGGGAAAAGCACGTGAAAAGAAATTTATGACCTAATAAATCAAATATATGTCAATTTCTGATATCGCTTGGTATTTCACGATTAGATTTACTTTACTGACGTCGAAGCTCATTAACTTTGTTCAAAAATTAGGTCTTGTATTTTACAAAATGAATTCAGCTATGAGCATTCAAATCCTTTAATATTTTTTGTAAAAAAATTAATCTCTATATTTCTCTATTTTAAAAGCAAAAGTAAGCAGAGTTGTTTGCTATCCTATACAGAGTGAAGTATTATGAGTAAAATGTTTGAATCATGCTGAGTTAAAAATAACATGTTCATTCCTCTCGATTACCCCCTTCACGTATACATTTTAAATGTTCATAACAACCGGAGCCGTATAACGTAAACGCATTTTAATTTATTACGTGAACATTTTCAGCTTAGATAAGACGAAAAAAAAATAAAAATCTAGAAAAATAAGTTAAAAACTCAATAAAATCTCATTTTAATCATCTAAGTACATTGAAAAACATTGAATCTTAATTGTTCCGATCAAATTCCACTAAGAAAAATAAAGCAATGTCCTTTGTAAGAATCACAAATGATTTTCGAGTAACTCAAATCAATAAACCAGTCAGAATAATAAGAAGTGATGGAGATTTCGATCCCATTACAATACCCGATCTCTTTAGTCGTGTAGTAGAAAATTATGGTGAGAATCCAGCATTGGCTTATATTGAGCAAGGAACAAAGAAATGGAAATTCGTCAGCTACAAAGAATACAAAGAAAAAGTTGACAAAATCGCAAAAGTTTTCATTAAACTTGGACTAAAACGTTTTGGATCAGTAGCTGTCCTGGCTTTTAATTCTGTGGAATGGTTCGTGACTGAATTAGCAACTGTTCATGCAGGGTAAGTTTTTCAAAAGATTAAGACACCTACGATAAAAAGACGAAAACTTTCTTTGCAAAAGGAACCAAGACTGTTTATTTTTAGAGCTGTAATAAAAAGCTGTATAAGAATGAAGAGAAGATTGGTTCGCATCATGAATCATCATTAGCATAGAAACACACACATAGTCTTATAAAAATAATAATGATGATTGTTGTTAATAATCGTGTTCTGATCCAATTATATCTTTGAATTTTTTTAATTGGTTTTATTATTATTTTTTTGTCATTTTCAGTGGCATTATCACGGGAATTTACACAACTAATTCTGTTGATTCAACACAATATGTGCTCGAAAAAAGCGGTGCGACAATTGTAATTGTCGATGATCCAAAACAAATGGAAAAAGTGAGAGAGATTAAAAAGCGTATGCCACATTTAAAGGTTGTTATCCAAACACGTGAACCATACGCTGACCCAAAAGATGGCTATTATACTTGGGATGAGCTCTTTGCAATGGATACAGATGATGTTGAGGAAGAATATCTTAATCGTCGAGCTGATATAGCTGTTAACGACTGTTGTTGTTTGATCTTTACAAGTGGTACAACAGGTCATCCGAAAGGTGTTATGCTATCACACGACAATTTACTGTTTGTTGCAAAATCCGGATGTACATTCGAAAGAATGGAAATGACAAAAGAAGCAATTGTCAGTTATTTACCCTTATCACATATTGCAGCGCAAATTGTCGATATTTTCGCAATGCTATTTACGGCAGGCTGTACATATTTTGCTGAACGCGATGCTTTAAAAGGAAGTCTCGCAAAGACACTAAAACAAGTTCGACCAACGAGATTCCTTGGAGTACCACGAGTTTATGAAAAGATGCAAGAAAAAATGCTAGAAATCGGTAGTCAACAAAATTGTCTAATGCGTTGCATTGGAAGTTGGGCTAAGCGTGTAACATTACAACATCACATGGACATTATGGCCGGAAAGCCTTCAAGTTCGTTCCAGTATAAAATTGCAAAAAAATTTATTCTCTCCAAAGTCAAACTTGCTTTAGGGTTTGATCGATGCCTTACTTTTGCAACAGGTGCAGCTCCAATGGGCTCTGAAACAAAGCAATACTTCCTTAGTCTCGATATTCCAATAATTGAAATCTTCGGAATGAGTGAATGCGGTGGAGGACATAGTTTTTCAGTTCAAGACACTGTTTCATTAGATACAATTGGAAAAGGCATGCCTGGATGTCAATCACGAATTCGTAATCCGGATATAAATAATCATGGTGAATTATTAATGAGAGGACGTCACGTCTGTATGGGATACTTGGACGATATTGATAAGACGTATGAGACTATTTTAGATGACGGATGGTTGGCAACAGGTGATGTTGCTTTTATTGATCATGAAGGATACATATTTATAACAGGACGGCTAAAAGAAATTATCATTACTGCTGGAGGAGAAAATATTCCCCCTCAATACATTGAGCAATTAGTTAAATCTGAGCTTCCCGCTGTCTCAAATGCATTTCTAGTTGGAGATAAAAAGAAATTTTTAACAATATTGTTAACACTAAAGACTTTAATGGCATCAGATACAGGCATGCCTCTTGATGAATTAGCAGATGAAACGATTAAATGGCTCGAAAAATTGGATTTAAGCTACACAAAGTTAAGTCAAATTCTTAATAATGGTCCAGATCCATATGTCTTGAAAGCAATTCAAGAAGGACTCGATCGTGCCAATAAAAAAGCGATCTCAAATGCCCAGAAAATTCAAAAGTTTAGAATCTTGCCACACGATTTTAGCATTGCAACATCTGAAATTGGACCGACAATGAAGGTCAAGAGAAATGTGGTCTTAGAAAAATATAGAGATGTAATTGACAGCATGTATCAATGATTCGATTCTTGTGATTCATTTATCATGCTCGTAGAATGAATAATCACTAGTTGCTTATTTTATAGCTAATAACAACCTCTTCCTTTTAGCATTTTTATGTGCATTTTAACAGAAATCTTCATTTTTACGCGCATAATAGCGTAATCATTTTAGTCAAATAACAAATTTCGACCAAAAGATGAATATCGCTTAGTATCTCAACTTATTATTACCTCCATCATTAAAATTATTATATTTTGTTTGTTTAATTTTTGTTCTTAGTCAATTTGTAGATAAAAATTACCTGTAAATTGTATCTAAATTTACCAAGAGTTAATATGATAAAAAAGAAAAAAAACTAATAAGGTGGATGAAATTTTAACGGTGTGGCTTATTGCCTTCCATATTTCCTATTTTTTAGAATTAGTAACAATAAACATTACATTATTATAATAATTAATTATCTCAAAACAAGATAAGATGAACGTTTTCTGTAAAATGAAGAACTTATGGATACTACCCCCAGATTAAGACTGATTTTGATCAGATACACATAATTATGTCATATTCACACAAAATTTTCAATTTTTGTGAATATATTTCTCATTTGTATATAGCTTATTGAAAAAAAAGTAACTCGAAATTGTTTAGTATTGAAATTGTATTGAATGTTTTTGGATGAAAACCGTCAAAAAAAAAACAGAAATAAAGACATGTATTGTTTTGCCAGGCTTGAAAACAAGGTCTTTTTAGCGCATTTTTGAAACTTGTTTCGAAAAGGTAGCTTATTCAAGCACTTTGTTCGCTCGACTGTGAAGAAAAACTTTTTAACCAGACATCGTATAGAGCTCGCGTTTGTTTTATTATCTCCGTTACTATCGGTTTATCGGCCCATCGAATGCTTAAAAGTCTTGAAACAGTGTATTTATGCTATAATTAATGAATTTTTGAATGATAAACCTTTTCGCTATGGAAATTCATTGCAACAAATTAATAATTAGATAATCAAATACTGATCGCTAACACAAAAATGCGCTTAAGTCCCTCGATCAATAACACGAGGACTTCTGTAATTTTTTATATCCTTTGGAATTCATGAAAAAATTTATTAATTTAATAATAATAAAAAATGTTTAAGTGATGCATTTACAAAATGTAAGAGATTATTCATAAATCTATTTACAGTCATTCGCTCACATCGTCATTCTCTGAATTAAGTAATTGTTATTTCCGGTAATTCCAACGATTATACCCTCCATTACGATCATCTCGTCGTCTGTCTCTTTCTTTTTCACGATACATTTGACGATTATCATTCGGTGATCGTGAACGGTCTCTCGTATTTCTGTTCTGCGGTGATCTTGAGCGTGATCTACGATATGGTTTACTCCTGCTATTCCTCTCGTCATCTCTGTGATATCGATTTCTATCAACTAAATCTCGTTGTGATCCAATATTATCAGATCTTGTTGATGGAAATATATCAGAATTATTAGTTCCATATAATTGCATTGCTTGAACTGTTGCCATTGCCATAAGTTGTTGTTGCAGATATTGCTGATTTAAATTTGCAAACGGTTGCTGCATTTGAGGCATCATAACATTACTTTGAGGTAGCATATCATCACGACAATTTATGGCATTTAATAAAGGATTTGCAAAGTTCTTCGATAGTGACATTGGGGATGTATAGTTTGAAAATGAATTTCTATTGGAATTTGAGCTGCGATTTTTCAAAGTCAATTCCCGCCCAAAAAGTTTTGTTCCCGAAAATATACTTAAAGCATAGGGAACAGCAATCAGGTGCTTATATGTGACGAATGCAAATGTTTTGTTCTTCCCATCCTTTTCTTTAGGTATTGATACACGTTCTACAGGACCTTAAATTGAGGAAAATTAATCTTTAACTTTGTTCCTTTTACAACAACAATAAAACTTGATATTTTCTTACCTGCCTATTTAGCATTATTAAATATATGTAAATTAGGATAATACATGGAAGGAAAAGAGAGTATAAGATGTAAATTGTCATTTAATAATTTTAAGATAGTAACTTACTTGGAAAAACAATTCATATAGCAATTTTTCCGTCACCTTCTCACTTATTCCGGCTATATACAGTGTCCTTTCATCAGAATCCGATTCCTCAACAGACATTGTGTGATAGATTCAGTTAAATCAGTATGTACCTCTTTTAATTTTAATAATTAACAAATTTTTAAAAACAAATAAGATTAGCGAATTTTTTGTAAATTATGAGCAGGAGATTTGCATTTTGTCTCAATGACCATAAATTAAGTGAAGCAAAGCTTTAACATTTTAAATTGCCCGTTTAATTTATACGACAATTAAAATATATATTATAATTAAAATAATAATTTATGCGCTGTATGTCCACAATAAATTATGAAGGAGCATAAAAATGTGTAACGGTTTTTCAATTTTTGAATGAGAAGGTAAATACAGCAAAACCTCAATAAATGGAATGTTTTTGGCAGGAATTTTTGTATGCTCCGTTAATTACAGACTTTACTGTATAACATAAGTTGTTTAGTAATTTTGAAATAATAATTTTTTAATATTTTGGACATAAAATAGATACAGTTTACGTAAATTAAGGCATAAATCGTTAAAGTATCATCTTTAGAAAGGAATAAAAATTAAATGGTGCAGTTGGATGAAGTTAAGGCGATAAAATTTCACTTCGTAGAATGAAATGAAATGAATGGTAATTTATTAAGCAAAATTATAGCTTTTTCCTTGAATATTCTCTACATGAAGTGACAGAAAAGGTCAGAAATGTATGCAATTCATGCATTGCAATAATTTGTTGATGTTTTAATCATGTTTTTGCGTCAATCTATGCGTTATTTTAATTAATTGAGTCACATAAGAGTGATTCTCAGCGACATATTTATTTTTTCCCCAAAATATATATGCAGCATAAGTGGTTATTTAATTTTTTTTTGTAATTATCATAATTTGTCTAATGCTTTTCAATTTTTCAACATTTTAGTGTTTAATATTAATAATCAACAAGATTTAAATAACATGGTGTGGATGAATAATACGAATTCGGGACAATTCCCAACAATCTCGTCTGTCACAAGTGGTGGTGGTCAAAATCCGATGATAATTGATGAAAACAGCATTACTTACTACAATACTCAACAAACTGGACAAGCTAATCTTGCACAACAGCAAGCGTTAATGGTAAATTTGCATAAAAATAATTACGAACACGCCAATTATGCAATTTTCGATGACCATTTTCAGGAAGTTAATCAGCAGCTTCAAGGAGCTAATTTTATAAGTGAATATCCATCTTCAACATCCACCATTTCTAATGCACAGCTTATTCAGCAGCAGCAAATTCAATTGCAACATCAACAAATTCAATTACAGCAGCAATTAAATCTAGCGGCTTATGGAAATATTGTTAATATGGGAAGTTTATTAGCTAATAGTAGCGATATTGGAGGTGAAGAAGATGATGAGGAGGAGGAAGAAGAAGAAGAAGATGAAACGGGCGAGCTCGAAGACTATGAAGAAGAAAATTCTAATAGTGATTATTCGTTGCAGCAACAACAGCTCTTTTTACTTCAACAACAAGCACATCTTCAGCAGCAGCAACTATTAGAACAAAATAATATCCAATTGAATGATGGAAATTACTTCCTTATCAATAATCCACATTTATTTAATAGTAGCGCAACATCAGACGATGGAAGTCCCGTGATAATACAACAGAATCCAATGCCACAACAAATAATAATGACGAATAAGCAAGTAACAATTGCACCAAATACTGGAAACCTCACAATAGCTCAGAAAGGAAATAGCAAAAAGCTTAAAGAGTCGCATAAAATAATGCCTGTTGTGAGACCAGGATTAAAACTTAAAACTCCAATAGCATATTTCGGCAATTCAGATCCTTCCTCAATTCCAATCCAGAAAGATGGAATGGGTGTTTGTGAGAAATGTGGAGCTATTGGTGTTAAACATGCGTTTTATACTAAAGAGAGAAGATTTTGTAGTTTGAGCTGTGCTCGTGGTTTCGAAGAAATTGCTGGCGATCAAGCTTTAACAACTGCTGTTTCTACAATTAAACCTGTAAGAGCAAAACATCAACAGTCTCAACAGCAACAGCATCATCAGACCAATTACAAATTTAAAGCGGACCAAATAAAAGCGGAATCGGATGAAAATGAAAGTATAATTAAAATTCATTCTCAGCAGCAACCTGTACTTTATCAAACCGTCATGCCTCAAGAACCTGTACCGCAAATCATAAAGCCATCAAATAATAGTCTCATTGAAGATAGACATATGAGCATAACGCGAAGAAAACCGCCTAGTGAATTTGCAAATTCATACGATTGGAACGAAGTGATCAATAAAGATGACTTCTTTGCAGCGCCTGTTACGAATTTCACTCATGCACCAGGTTACGATCTTTGGTCAGATATAATTGTAGGACTTAAGGTAGAAGTAGAAAATAGTGATTTTAAAGACGGCGACATTCAATCAAATCAACAGCCAATTCCTTTTTGGATAGCATCAATAATTAAAGTTCATGGCTATAAAGCTAAATTACGTTACGAAGGATATGAGAATGATGAAGCACACGACTTTTGGGTCAATTTGTGTACAACGGAAGTTCATTCTGTTGGCTGGAGTGCGATGCAAGGACGTCAATTGATTCCACCGATGAAGATCGAGGCAAGAATAAAGAATATGAAGAAATATTTGCTCAAGTCTCTTCATCATGCAAAGACGCTTCCTGGAAACTTTTACAATAAACTTTCTGATAGCTTCCGTTCAAGATTTGAAGTAGGCCTAATTCTTGAAGTTGTCGATAAAAACTGCATATCACAAGTCAAGCTGGCAAGAATTATGAAAATCGTTGGAAAAAGACTATACGTGCAGTATTTCGACTCCTCAGATCCAGACTCTGGATTTTGGTGCCATGAAGATTCCCCACTGATTCATCCTGTCGGTTGGGCCACAACTGTTGGTCATAAACTCAGTGCGCCACAAGATTACATCGATAGAATGAACCGTATGTGTATTTATTATTTCCTTTCACATGTTGTCATGCAGTATAGAAAATTCATTTGATATTTCATTTCAGTTGCACGTGAGAGAATTTTAGATCCAAACGACGACGATGCTACAATGGATCTCTTTAAATTGAACTTCCTATACGAAGAATATTTCGATTCCACACGCGATGATAAAGTGACAGCTTTCTGTGAAGGGATGAAATTGGAAGCAATCGATCCACTTAACTTGTCGTCAATCTGTGTAGCGACTGTTATGGAAGTTCTTAAATTTGGTTACATGATGATTAGAATTGATTCATATGCGCCTGATGTGACGGGCTCAGATTGGTTCTGTTATCATGAAAAATCACCGTGTATATTTCCTGTTGGCTTTTGTAAGGCTAATGGAATTCAATTGACACCTCCACATGGTTATACAACAAGCAATTTTAATTGGAATACATATCTTGCCGAGACAAAGTCTATTCCAGCGATGGATCAAGTGTTTCATCGGTTCTCATCTAATCATGGCTTTAAGGTATGTTGTTAATAATCTTTAATTGAAATGTATATCTTATGAATTTTTAAAATTTATGTTTATTAGGTCGGTATGAAAGTAGAGTGCGCTGATTTGATGGATCCTCGATTAGTTTGTGTAGCAACAGTATCGCGAGTTGTTGGACGATTATTGAAAATACACTTTGATGGATGGGATGATGAGTACGATCAATGGCTGGATTGTGAATCACCTGATATTTATCCTGTAGGATGGTGTGTAACTGTTGGACATAAATTAGAAGGACCGCCTAATGCAAATGCAGGAAAGACTCAATTGATGCCAATCAAAATTGTACCTAAAGTGAATGTAAAGAAGCAAACGAAAAAAGGACCTAAAAGGAAATCTCTTTTAAAAGAGCAGCAACATCAACAGCAGTCACACTTTGTTGTCAGTAATGGTAAGTTAATTTAAAATTTATCCTACAATATAAGTATCCTGTCATAATATTTCCATCAACCATTTTTTTATATAGCTCAAAAACAGTATACTGGACCTGTTGCATCTACAAGTATGCCGAGCCTTCCGATTACCTTTATCAAAACAGATTCTGACAATACTTATACAATCAAACAAGTACCACATCCGCAACAACAACAGCAAAATCTGTACGGTGGATCTATCCTCAAACAGGAACCGTCTGAGAATAGTATTATAAATAATTTCAAAAATCTTCAGAAAAATCTTGAGCTGATAGAGCAGCAGCATGTAGGATATCGAACTCAAACTGTGCAAGGATATGTTGAAGAGAGTGATGAGGATCAGAGTGGAATTGCAATGTTTGATGGAGAAGACGATGACGATATAACATTATCTCCTCTGGAATGGGACTGTAATGATGTTATAGAGTTTTTGAAGCGTAGTAACTGTAGTCAACATTGTGAATTATTTATGAAGAATAAGATTGATGGGAAGAAACTTTTGCAATTGACACAGACTGAAATAATACAATTGCTCGGCATGAAAGTTGGTCCTGCAATAAAAGTGTACGACCTGATACAACAAATTAAAGTGAAAGTTGCGCCATTCATGCATGCGCCAATGAAATGAAAAGTGATTAACTTTAAATCCACAAATTTATTGGTGATGAACATATTTTTATTTCAAATACGATAATATTAATAAATGAGGGATGAAAATGTCTGTTTGGAAATCAAACAATCGGAAAAAAAGTTTAAGGAATAATTAAAAATAATAGTGACTCCAATTTCAATTTGTTTTCTTTCTGAATTTCCAAGGATTTTTATTTTATAATTTTTCGCATTAATATTGAGTAATTAAGCTGAAAATAATTTTTTATCATAAGAATAAATTAGTATGTTTTGATCGTTTTTGTATCGCTGTATAAGCTTAACATTTTAAAACAAAGAATAATAATATGAAGGATTGATTTTCTTTGCGCTTAACTCAAATGTCTAATTTCATATTGATTCATTTGGGAATTTTATTAGGATTTAAACATAATTTTTTTTTAAGTTTCAAATTTAGAAAGGAACCGCCATAAATCAATTATAATTAAAGTATAAAGATTTAATGTGAAATGAAAGCAATTTTCATCTTTCGATCATGTCTTACTTGAATGATTGACGCATTTTCTTATCTGATTTTTTTTTAAATTTATATATTGTATTAAATTGTGTTTGTTCATCCTTCCTATATTTTATTTAAGTAAATATAGACTTTAAAAATAATTATGAGTTTTTTTTGTGTTAATTTCCAAATCTACAATCAAGATACATGGATGTGCATGAGAGTACATCTACATATCTTTTATACAGCCTTAATTGTTTAAAGAAAATTTATGAAAATGCGTTAAATAACATCACAATAAGATAACATCAAGTCACGTCATTATTTCTGAATTCAGTAGAACTTTTTCCATACAAAAACCTAGAAACTAATGTGAGACAAAGACAAATGCTCCAAAATGAATTTTTGATGTGGAAAAAGATGAAAATATTTCGATAGAATGACAAAGATAAATTCTTTCATTTCATTAATGAATGCAAGTACCAAAAAAAAAAAGAAGAAGATAATAAAATATGAGAAAAGTTTGTACAACACAAACTATAATGATAATAAAAATAATAATTATGACTAGTGTTTTCATACGAGATGTATTGGCAAACGTGAAAACACAAAAAGAAGCATAAGAAAAAAAGAAGAAAAAAAAACAATACAATTAAAATTAATTGAATTAATCAGGGAAAATATAATATTAATGCCGAGTCACAATCCAAAAATTAAGAGAGAAAGAGAGAAAAAAAAATATAATTTGAGATAAGAATGAAGAAAATCTTTATAAACATACAGATTATAGATATTCACCAAGTTCATATACGAAATTAACTAGAAATTATTTTTTGCCATTTAATAAGAATAAAAAGAGGATATCCAAGACATGAAGAAATAGGAAAAACAATTACAGTGGATGAAAATCTTATTGGCGTTTACTGACGGTTTAAGTGGGATTTCGTTACTAATTCTCCTCCTTCCATCTGTTCTCCAACAAAAACACACAAAAAGAAAATAGACATAGAAAGAAAGCATAAACATAAAGGAATTATGGAAATTGCAGAGTAATTTTTATATAGTTAATAAAGAATCTAAATATATATACACAATTTATTTAAGATATGCTGATCAGACAATTGCAGATTAATTCAAACACATACGCAAAAAATAAAACTAAAGACAGATTTTTCTCATTCTCCTTCATCAACTGTATATGTACCATAACATGAAAAGATTAATTTAGTGATTAGTTGGCAAATTTATTCGTTTTCATATATTTATAATAATGAAGTGAAAATAAACAAGGCTGGAAGTAAGGAATAAGAAGAAAGGATACCGAGTGACACTTTAGATTTTTGTGGATTTCATTAGCTTAGCTAATGAATTATGATGTCTTTATACCGCGTCAAATTGATTGTAGGACTTAGTGGGGGTCTAGGATTTTGTGACAGTTCAAACAATGGAAATTTTTTTCTATAGAATATTTGTGACAGAGGGAGGGGGGGGGGTCTAAAAATCAGGTTTTTTGATGGACGTCATAAGTGAACGACCCCTTTCATAAATTGAGTAAGATGTGTTAAAAAATAATCACGAGAACGTTTACCTCAATCTAAAAATCCCTAAAATGCAGCTACCCTAATATGCAGATAGTACTGCCAAGATGCAGATAGTACTGCTAAAGTGCAGATGAAATTTATTTTCCCTAAAATGCAGATGAAATGCTGTTGCTTTAAAAAAGGTATAATGCAGATGATTTTTATCGTATAAAGTGCATATAAGATGCTGCCCAAATGAAGATCGTATAATTTTATTAAAATACATCATATTCGATGACTTTTTTTCTTGATACGTGTTAATAAAAAAAAAATTCCATACAAATTTTCACCTTCAAGTGATTTAAAATCCCAAAAAAATCCCTATACAAAATGATTTAAATCATAAACCAAAAATAAATCACTTGGGTAAAATGCAGAGGTCGAAGCGAGCATAGCGAAGCGAGTTTTTAGCGAGCTCGCTTCGCTAAAAATTCAACTTGCCAAAGTTGACCTGTAGCGAGAATTTTTTTTTTCTTTTCGCCTTAGCGAACTATAGCAAACTCAATTTTATTTTTTTCGCTTTAGCGAACTATTAGCGAACTTAATTTTTCAAAGTTCGCTATAGCGAACTATTGGCGAACTAGAAAAATTTTTTGGCTTCATATTAAGAGATGTCTAATTGCGTTTGTGAAGTATGTAATTTCATACAAAATTGCAAAAAATTATAGTTCGCCAATAGTTCGCTATAGCGAACTTTGAAAAATTAAGTTCGCTAATAGTTCGCTAAAGCGAAAAAAATAAAATTGAGTTCGCTATGGTTCGCTAAGGCGAATAGAAAAAAATTTTTCTCGCTACAGTTCGACTTTGGCAAGTTGAATTTTTAGCGAAGCGAACTTGGCGAACCAAGTTCGCTTCGACCTCTGGTAAAATGATTTAAATCCCCTCCATGCTAATTACATCAAAATTTCGTGTAGCAAAGTAATTTAAAATCACAAAGTTTGCAATGTATTCAAAAATGCATTTTTGTTTTCCTGAACTTTTTTAATAACATCAACTAGTGTATCGGGTAGAAACCGAATGCGGATATATTCGCACCGTACCATCAAAAGTCTTGTGGAAAGACCAAGCTTAGCTCAGTATTAATTTGAAAGTATAAATCTTGACAAACCAGCTAAGCTGTGCTTAGCATATGTTTGGAGGTTTAAAGCTTAACGAGCATTCTTTAAAAGTTTTTTAAAAACATTTTTCATCCAAAGTTTAATTTTATAAAAATCACAGTAAACTTTTGTTTTAAAAAATTCGTAAGAAAGGAAAGTTTTTTGCTTTTTCTGAAGCAACGGCTGTTCCTACCTTGCCCAAAAACTATACAGCTATTCTATAGAGCAGCACGGATCAAATGTTAAAAACTAGAAGTCTCTACGATGTCTCGTTATTGAGATTTCTTGCTGATTAACTTGCTTGCATGCTTGTTTGCTTTCAGAAAGCGTATTTTGCGATTTTCTTAGCAATGCCGCAAAATGATGTAAAACTTCAGGCACAAACTTTACTTCTGAGACTTTTTATAACCAATTTTGCTTTGTTTTCTCACAAAATGCGAAAAACTGATGTTTCCATCTGAACAAAACCAATAGATTCACTCGTGAAAACGGTGTGAATTTAAAAAATACATTTGTAGATAAATCAATGAAAGCTGACAAAGTTTTAACAAAATTCACAAAAAATATTCGTGAGTGACGCTTAATTAAATTGATTTTCTGACATAACGCCTTAACTTTAGGCTTTAAAACTTAATATCCAACGTTAAATTATCTACATTAAAACAGCATTTCATCTATATTTTAATAAAATTATACGATCTACATTTGGGCAGCATCTTATCTGCACTTTATACGATAAAAATCATCTGCATTATACCTTTTTTAAAGCAACAGCATTTCATCTGCATTTAAGGGAAAATAAATTTCATCTGCACTTTAGCAGTACCATCTGCGTCTTGGCAGTACTATCTGCATATTAGGGTAGCTGCATTTTAGGGATTTCTTTATTGAGGTAGAAATTTCCAAATATCATGTTTGCAGGCATTGCAAGTGTTAAGTTTAACTTCATCAATTTTTTTTTCAAATCGAGTGCCACAAACCATTTTAACTGAGCTACAAGTTTTGTCTGAACTGATTAGTTTTCCTAATGCTTCCTTAAATATGTATCTTTATCCAATATAGTTTGACTGTTCTACATGAGTTGAGGACAATGAGATTTCAAGAATTATTTTAAACTGAATTAAAGTCCTCATTTCCTAATTTCTTAATGTTTTGGTAACTGGAGCCTATAAAATTAATCAGTGTGATTTAAGCAGTTGATACTTTATTTTTTCGTGCTAAAAATTAGTTTAAGTGACTGTACTTTCTTTACTGTCTGTTTTTAACAACCAGTCAAAGACCAATTATGTTTCTATTGAAAATCAAAAATAGTTTGGAAGGCACTAGCTGATCAAAGAGGTGTCGCTCGGAAAAAACTTTTGAGATGAGAAAACAAAGCGGAAAGAGTTAATGAAACAAAGAAAGAAGATACAATAGAAATTATATCATGATAAGACATTTATTATGAATAAAGAAGAATATCTATTTTTTTACACAAAAGAAAAGAGAGAATAAAAGAAGTGAAAATGGAGATGATGAAAGGATGAGCTGAGAGTAAAGAAATAATAATAAAAAAAGTAAGATCTAATTGTGGAAGAGGTGAAAATGATAGCGAAATGAGATGATTTGATTAAAATGATGAAGTGAAGATTTTTTTTCCAAATGACTTTTAATGTAAAAAGATTTGCAATTTTTAGATATTTTACATTTCCACAAGATGAAAAATAAAAGAAAATTAAATTGTAAGGAAATTATGTAAGTAAAGCACGTAAGCAAGCAAAAACTCTGATGGATGAGAAAAAAGAAAATTTTTTGAAGAATAAATTTTTTAATGAAAAAATGTTGAAATTTCTTTTTGACAACTTGTCATTTTTATTTTTAACTTGCAGATTCAATTTTGTTCATTTTGTCATCCAGCGGCGACAATAAAAAATTGACATTCAATTTTGGCTTATGATTGTAGATTATAAAGGCGTCTAAAGTTCTATCATCTTCGTGATCTATAAATCCCCATTTAATCTTTTTTTTATTCCTTATTACCTAATGTAGAAGACAAACTAAGTATCACAACGATGAGCTCATCACAAATAAACTTGCTATGGAAAAGAAAGAATGAAATTTTTCAAGGTAACCTGTCAAATGCTGCTCATTCAAATTCAAAATGAAAAATCCATCATTATGTCAGAAATGATTATTTCCAACAGAATTACAAGCATATTGCCTCACGAGGATTTCTTTTCGTACCAATAAATATTACGGAACATTTCCGCTGACTACAAATTTTCAATACAAATAAAAAGTTCCAATGAATAATAAATTTTCTTCACGAAAAATTTCTATAAAATGAAATAAGACTAAATTTTTGGAGGAAATTAGGCTATTTTGTTGTCAATGATCAGCCAAAATTTTAAACACTCAAAATATTAAGTTAAGTAATTGATCAAAATGTGGTTTACAATCACAAATTATAGAAGAAACTTTCTTCGAGCATGAAAATAAGCTATGTCAATGATTGCCAATATGTGAGCAGAGATAATTTTTCATAAAGCCCATGCGACGCAGTACTAATTTATTTTAAGGCATCAACGTAAGTATTTACATTCTCTTTGCACTGTACATAAAAAATAAAACAAGTTGAAACTGTTCAAAATATTCCCAAAACGAAAAGAATCAGTTTTGTTTGTCATGACTAAACATACATTTGTTTTGGAAAAATCTCCGTAGAAATCGTTCCCTAAAAAATTGTATCAAAACTTGATATTTTTGAATTTTTAAACAGCAACAATAATTGACTTTAAATGTTGATATCTAGTCCTTTACTTATACTAAACATTAGACATCATAAAGGAATGACACACAAGGCTTATTAAAGATCAACATAAAGAACAGCAGACGTATAAACAAAAAGTGTGTTTTGAATTGAAATCATCGGTAATTTGTGTAATTAGTTTAACAAACCTTTACTTTATTGTTCTATTCTTAAAAGTTGTAATGACAAATAATCAAAATACTTTATTGAATAATAGCAATGCTGAATATGATAAATTCATGACGTTTATTAAGGCAGGAAAAAACTCATTATACTTTTTCCGATATTCCCTTTTTTTTGCCTTCTCTTTATTTTGAACTTTATCCATAAGTATTAATGATTTAAAGCCACAAATTTTGTAACTTTAATGTGCTAAAACTTTTTATTTCAGACACGTTAACAATTGATGGATTTAAAGCAACAGACAAAACTAATATACTAATACTCCTAGAACTAGAACTGTACACTACTCACTTTGATTGCTAGCGATTGACTTTGAGCATTTGAACAACTTTTTCTTAGCATAGCTCGTTGATATTATATATATTTTATTAGTGATTGCTTGTTTTGCGAGTTTTTTGTCATTTGATGACATTTGATTCTGTAAAAACTGTGGTGAAAGGCTCCATGCATCTATAGACTGTGATGCTGTTTTCTAACGTTTAATTAACCTCTTTGCCACATCGTCGTCAAAGTCAGTTAAGGAAAGTTTACGTTTTCGACTATTTTGAACTTGTTGCTGCTATCTTAGCTCTCACACAAGTAACCAAAATGTTCCATATAATCTTCCTTTGACGTCGATGGAAGATCAAATGTATCATTATTTATTATGTGTAAAATATTTGTTTTACAAACATGTAACAAACGTGGTCCATCAAAGTATTACCCGAGCCCGCTTAGGTTCAAATCCTATGAAAAATCATCAAAAAAAAATTTTTTGCAGGAAAATA